TCAAGTTTTTTGGTGTCAATTGACTGAAATAATTTTAAAAATACCATAGAATTAATATTTATTTATTTATTTATATTTATTTATATTCTGCATTACGCCGTCGCGTCGTTCCGAGCACTAAGTGGAGTTGATATTTTTATTGAGATTCCCCTAATCGATAAGTGTCGTATTAGTAACTACCATTATAAAAACACATTTTATAAACAGTTTTTCATTTTATTAAAATGCATAAAAGGGTTTGAACTTAACAACAGTCCATAGTCAACAACTAATAGCCCTTGCCAACTAAATTTAACTGCAACATTCAACTGTTTGCTTAAAAAAAATCCCATGTTCCCAAGAACATGTCAACTTGACAATTTTTTTTTTGGATCTTTAACTTTGAAAGATCTTCATCTAATATCAATCAGACAATCACTAATGTATTAATGTAACAGCAAAGAGGATAAAAAAAGTTGCAGTTTCAACCGTTACGGTCACCGGAAGTACCGTTTGATCGAATTGTTGAGGATTATTTAAAATTTTAAAATGTTTACTAGTCATAGTTCTCAACGAAGCATTGATACTTTTGAGACAGCCGGCATAATATGAAAATAGTTTAAAAAAATTACCAGGATATAATCATATAAGTGAAACTTTCCGAAAGCTACAACCAAAACGCGGCGGTCCATATAGTGTGAATATGCCTGCATATCAGCAGATGGAAGATATTTTATTCCAAGTAATCTTGATTTAAATAATTAATTAATCGCCTCTGGCATTAACTAGCCCAGAACTTGGCGATAATTTGAATTGATAAGAAGCAATTTTCAGTAATAACTCAACAAAATAATTTGTAACACAAATCATGTGCTAATTTTCAAACATTTTTATGACCGTATACAACACCACCGAGCCAATGGTGCGGAAAATTTAAGGTGGCGGCAATTTTGTCTGATTTTTCCAATGAAACCGCTGTAATATTTTAGCACTTGGCTAAGAATGTTACGATACAGGAAACAATAACAGAAAAACGAGTGAGAAGAACTTTCGTCCCAGTCCCGCGACCATGACAACTTAAAATTAAAACGACTTAGTAGGTTACTGGTTAGCATTTTAATTTTAGAATGTAAGGTTTGATTTCTCGTAAAGTTGAAATAAGGCACCGATAACGTGTAGTGCGGTGTAGTGGGAACGACGACGTCCCATTCAATCCGCCAGCATGAATGGTTTTGTTATACATAAACAGTGTTGTCAAGTGCAACTACCTATTTTATGTGGTATTGGCGCAGAACAGCACTTACGTCTTAATGTTATAATATCGACCCGTCTATTTAAAACGCCAGTCACAATCCTTTCTAATGAATGACATTTTGTATTTTGCGCATCGTTAAAAAAATACGGGCAATTTGTGTACATTTTTAAAATAAAGTCACAACTCTTGTCCACCACTACACTACAAAGCTATCCCTAATATTTAGATGCTCACATGGCGTAATTGCACATTTCGGGAACTAAATGTCCAGTTAGTAAAATGGATATTTATTTTATATATTATAATACTGTACATCAAAATAAAAAGATTTGTTCGTTAAATGTCTTGTCAAATGTGAAAAGATGCAGGAGATCGAAAATGAAACAATTTTCGAAAAATTCCAGTATTTATAAAACTGAGAAAGATATAAATTTGAAATTATTGTAATTGGTTTCTTTGAAGGTAAGAAATTCGAATTCCATATTAATTGCTAGAGAGCACTTTTATTCTCTCTTCGCGCTTGGTTAATATCATTATTCAAATTCAAAATATTTAAATGAAAATATTCAAAAATTAAGTTAATTTTTGAAAGAAATTACCACAGGCTACTGTAATACTATTTACAAATCTTCCGGATTCCTCCTGCGTCGGTTCTTGATTCTATTCAACAACCGACGCAGAAAGAATCCAGATTTGCAAACGCTAAAAATGAAACTTTACTTTCAACTTCGTGTTTATTTCTTGTATATCCGCTTCGTGAAACAATCAGCCGTCCAATAATTAAGCAGAAATTTGGCGATAATATAATCCCCATTATTGTTATTTATGGCGAAAATACTGAAAAATTTGAAGATTGTGTCGTTTTACCGCTTATCTCCTGGGGCGTTAACGAACCATTTTCAAAGGGTAAAAATTAAGGAAAGAGTTTATAACAGAAGTTTTAATTTAAATGTCAGGAAGGAGGTTGGTGAATCTAACCTTGCACTTTAAACCTTGGAGCTACATGTCTCGTAATTGTAAGGTTTTTTAATGGAACGAAGGTGAAGCTGTTAATCTTGGTATATAAATAAAGGACCACTGACAATATATTTTCATTTTTTGTCTTTTTTTTTATTTGCTTCGAATTTTTTTTTTTCTATAACTCACCGCTTTCGAAGATTCCATATGAAACTGCCCTTTATTTATACAAAATAGTATATTATGGAAACGCGGAAAACGGCATTTGAGTCATGAGTTTATATGTCGCGAGGAGAGCGAGTGTTTAATAAACGAGTGAGTTAAAAAGTTTACCGAACGTGCCGCATACTATACTTTACCACATCAGTTTCGTTCCCCCGGATATTTTCGGAGATATTTACCACGCCTTAAATTTTGACGTTTGTCAATTCTGACGGCCAAGTCAGTGAATGTATTCGTGTTGTTTTGCGAAAATGTACCCAAAAACTAACGCTCGTAGAAAAAGTATAGTATGCAACACGTTCGGAAAACTTTTTAACTCGCTCGTTTATTAAAAACTCGTGAGTCAAATGCAGTTTACCGCACTTGTTGCATAATATACTATTTTTTTTCTTCCCTTCTGAAAATTACTTAATTATACACCGATCTAGTTCGCGGAAACTGTCATTTTACCGCGGCAGTTTCGTTTCTCACATTTGACATTGCCATTCAACAATATGTAGCCCTAGCAACGATAGCCTTAAAAACATGTCGCTATAAATTTATGTTGTAAATTCTTCCTAAATAGTTGATAAAACTAAAGTTTGATTAACAACGATTTGGTCACAATTTAGTGCGACTGTTTAATAAAAGATTATCTAAGCAGTTTATGAAAGCATTGTTTACTATACTTTTTCTACGATCATTAGTTTTAGGGGTACATTTTTGCAAAACAGCATGAATACTTGCAGTGAGTGACATGTGACGTGAGCGTTAGAACGTCAAAATACCATCAATGTTTGAAATCTACCGAAAACATCCGATTGCCTTTAAATCAAAAGAAATGCTCGTAGTGGCTCGCGATAGTGATTAATGAAGCGTACGTTTTAAAGTGACACATTGGGCACGCCTGATCAATGGATATTTTGGTATTTTAAAGAACTGAGTAGAAAAAAGTATTTTTGAAGTAATTTTCATCAAAATGGGATAAAACTTTGCATACATCACGCGAGTTAAAACTGGTTAACCTTTCTTTAAAAAAAAAAGGCTGAGACGCAATCTTCGCGCTTATTCTGATATTTCGTAAATAAACTATGCGATTTTCGGAAAACAATCACCGAACGTCTTTTTATCGGCTGACGAGCACAACCAAAACGTTTCATCTAAAAATACGTCCTTACAAACATTCGCCCTAAATAAACGGTAATAAAATCGGGCTGGGGTCCAGTATTGGCAACAACCTCCATGATTTTCTGAAAATAGTATCTCACTGGATGTCCGGTTTTCTATTCCTGGGGTGGCTGGTTTATTTTGGGAATACATACCTCAAAATCGGGAAAATTCTGTTCTCTGTTTTTTTTTTTAATTTTTATTAGGAAGGAATAAAACGAGAGATAACATCTTAGGTTTTGTTGAACACAAATCTGTATAATCTAATTGTCCGTTTCCTAGAATTCCCTGGTAATTGTTTAAATGAAAAAATGTTAATGTTAACAAAATATTAAAATTAAATTGCAATATATTATACTAGGTTGTTGATGCTCGATGGTAGGTTAGGAACGGAAAATGTATATTTTTTTAAATTTGTATTTTTTTCGATTCCGTTCTATGGAAATAATAGTTTGCATTTTTAAAATCACTATTTTCTTCTGCTGATTTATGAGAATTTCATTGGAGTAATTATATGCTTCTCTATAATATGTTTTTAAGTAAATAATAGAACATTATGCACGTTTTGTCATTTGTCAAACGCTTGAAAAAATAACAAATGTTTTACAGAAATAAAAGGAATAATAGGAAGAAGAAAATATCTAACCTACCGGTAAACATATTATAAAAATTAGTATCCAAAATAATATATCAGAGGAACCAACTCTTCCTTTGGTAATATAAAACAAATGGTATTTAACAACCGGTCGCACCTATCGAGAATATTAAAGAAACCTTAGAACTTCTCAATTATCAGCACATTCAGGGTCTCGAAAAAGTAACCAAAGATATCAAATTTAGTTACAAGCACTAGATTTTGATCTTTTTTAATGGTGTTATATCTGAATGTATGGCAAAAGATTATAAACAAAAATCACTTAGTAAAATCCGATCCAAAGTACAATCATGAAAATACTTAAACTGCGTCATGCAAAAAAGTTTCTAACGAAATGCGAATTTTCAATGTCATATCGTTAAACAATGAGTTCCAAAATGTCGCCTACCTACCTACCACATAGAAAAATATTAACACGCTATCTGGTGGGTAGCTGTACCGATCCTTGGCGGATCAGCGAGTGGCATCGTCAGCAAAATGCCAAGTTTACCCAGAACGACCCTCTGACCCAGCCTATAATTTCAGACGTAGCAACAGTGTTTATCGTTACGATCCACAACATATATACCGGGATCGGTCAATAGAGTTATTAAATTATTGCTTCCATAAATATTCAAATTTATTCCACATATTTAATTATTGTATTGTTGGAGGTTTGCCGTAATTAGCAATCGCAAGATCGAGGCCAAGACTGACACAACAAACACCATGAATTAATTCACTGATGGATAATGTTAAAGTTAATCTAAAATCATAATGTGATAAATAATTTAAATGTAGGATCATCAGCAATTTTAATTAATATAGATATTGAGTTGTTATAGTCGATTTAAAAAATGTGTTTATTACTTCTAACGCAACTGGCATATTGTTGATCGCACTCGGTATGCCACCACACAGCTCGGATTCATCGCACAAAGCGAAGAATCAAGGTCATCAATGAAAATAATTGTGTTAAACATTTCTCGGGGTGTTCCATATGATATTAGCGTACTTAACGTAATATTAAATAGGTACAGCTAATAAGTAAAAGAACAGCAATTTGTAAACACATTCGAAAAATCAAAAGAACTTTAAAGAATAAAATTAAACGACTGAAATCATGCCGCTGTCCTCATTACTTTACATGCTAAGAATTAACCTCGCAAATTCTTTTGTGGTTGGGAATTGCCGATTAAAGATTCGGATGGCGTCATCGTCGCAAACAAATAGGGAAAATGAATTCCTTTAATAAAAATCCCGTCAATTTGATGCGATGATTCTGATACGTTTATCAGATTGAAGGTAGGAATGACGATGAACACATACTAAAATGTCTAAAAACCCACGTGAACAATTAAAAAATGAAAGTAATAAATTTTAACTCTGCCAATGTGATCTCCAATTTGGATAGCCTATTAGCAACAACTGAGCATTAAGATAAATATTACTATTTACAATCTTCTAAATTCCCCCTGCATCGGTGGTTGACGAGTCGAATTTCCTGACATTTCACCAATGATACAGTTGACTCCTTCAGAGCTTAATTAAAACTGGATTGCGTTCTATCAGTCATCAGGCATACGAGACAATGTTCGTATCTTTTTTTTAGCTTCGCCTCCTTTAACCGTAGATAAACAGGAACAGAGTAGAATGCAAACCAGTTTCAGTTAAACTTAGAAGAAGCTAACATAAGTATTAGTATGGTACTACAGTATCCTGTGGATGAAGTTTCTTTAAATGATTGAGAGATATATTGTTTTCTATTTTTCGTTGCAGTGGCTGTGGTCTCATATTTTAAAATTGTTTCCATCATCGCTTGTTACCAAATATTGTAAAATGTCATAAAAATTGTGAAATTTTAAATAGGACAAAATAAATTATTTTAATTCATTAGTTTTTTTTTAATTGTATTTAATTTGGGAATTATTGTATCGTACTGAAAAACCCTGACATCCTTGTATGTACCTTCAAATGTTTGACTTACAGGGCACCTTGTGCTAAGACCAAACTAGGTGAGGTATGTTTATCAATAGAGTTTTTAGAAGTTATTTCATAACTTGAAATTTGTTAGGGGTATGTGAAAAAAATATGTAGGAGTTTGCTCAGAACAAACGAAATCATCAAGTATGCAAAATTTTAAAGTTTTTAGGATGATGGTAACACTGCAACAGCGAAGATGACTTCATCCATAATTTGAATTTGGAATACTATTTTTTTTTCATCTCCTTAGGATATAACGTAATCAAGTATTTCTAACTAACTAACCAAATGGGTGTTTATGACATTTTTTGAGGTAAAAACAAAAGCGCAGCGAAGGCGAAGGAATATTGCAATTTGATATTTGTATAATACGTGACAAAAAAACAAATACATCTGACTGTTGCAAATTTACTCTACTATTGCCAAACAACTATTTTAAAACAATCGACTGCCATTTTAAAACGACCTCATTAGTTTGACCATAGCCTTTGGCGTTACAATTGATTCAGTGTGATATTTTAGTGTGGACCCATTTAGAAGTGATGCATAGGGTAAGAATAAATTTTGCGAGTTTTGGAGTTTAGGTTTAAGATGTTGAAATATAAGAATATAAAATAGTGATTCTTTAGCATAAAGATATTTTCCAGAATTAATAACAAATAAGCTATTCAAAATTGCACCCTTGTTTTCAAAATGCCGACGTGGGGGAAATTTTTCTCAAATTCACTATGTCGCCATTATTTTGTTTCCTAACCTTCTATCTAATATTGTCTAATATGTATCACAAAAACTCATAATCAATAAACTAAAATTAACAGCCTTTCCAAAAAATGAATAAGTTATATGTAGTTACTAATCGCAAATCTACTTTACTGGAACTTATTAGTTTTTGTTTTAGGTTTATCTTTAAGATATTATTGTAGTTATATATTTTCTTTCTTTTAGTTGTAATACTTTTTTCTTACAAAACAATAAATGTATTTGTTTTATTTTGTTTTGAGTTGATTTTCATTTTATTCAAATTGCCGCACATGTTCAGAAAGTATTATAAATGTGTTTATACATTTGAACTCACTACAATTTTTTGTCATAATAAATATACCTAAAGTTGGTAAAGTTTTTACAAAATCTCATTGCTTAAGTTATGTTTAGAATATGCATATGTATATGCATTTAAATGTAGTTGTTTTATTATGATTTGATATGCATTTTATGAAAATTGTAGCAAATGTAAAAAAAGTGTCATAAATATGTATCTAAAATTCAACACTTTTATTTTCTGGTCTTAATAAGTTGGGCTTTACCTAATATTGACAAAGATGTTTTTAAAAAATGTTAATGCTTAAGTTATGTTCAGGATACGCAAGAATTATTTACAATAAATAGTATTTTACATCGCAATTATATCCCACATACTGCCTTTTACAGGATATCCCAAAATTAAACATAATCAAATGTGACGTTTAGTTGCTATACAATTATTAATTTAATTAGTATATTATAATTTACTTAGTGTATTTGCTATAAAGTTTCATTCTCTATTTGCTGTGGTTTTACTTCAATGCAAATTTTACTTCTATTTTTTTTACACATGTTGAGGTTACCTAAAATGGAATAAACCATTTTGAACAAAAATGTAAAATTTTGTTCCCTCTGTCTTTAAGAAAATCTATACATACATAATATGAAAAATTATTTCAAAACTAAGCAAGCGACTGGACAGGAAATAAATGAAAAAATATCATTTTTTTATGTGCTTCATTTTATTTTGTCGACAATATTCCGAATTCTACTCGTAACAGTTTGATTTTTTTGGAACACTTCTGATATAACTAAATATGCCAGGAATGTAGGTCCGAATTTAGATAAAAGAAAATGATCACATTCTACATTCCCATTTTGTGACGAAACCCAGCGAACATGGACTTTAAAGATGACGACTGAAATCGACCGAGCACTGCTCTTCTACCTCAACATATGAGCTCTTCAACAATTCAGTTTCTTCGCAACATTTTCCTACCAAATGTTATAGCGAGACCTTTCTCATCGAAAAAAACGCTAAATTGTTTTCCCTAATATTTTGTTAAACATTTTATGCCCTATCGTTCAGGGTGGTACTAAGATAGCTACAACAGTTTTCATATGTGCATTGCTGCGAGTAAATCTTATTACAAAATATAACTATGAACTATCTGTCCAGGCAGTATTTCTGACAGAATTAGTTTAATGCTATTGATCGATCTACAAGCATCCTCGAATTAATGGGGAAATTTATACGGAATTATAAGATATGTTAATTTTCAGTGGCACTTCCTCTTTTTGGCGAGCACGCTCATTGTATTCCCAACGAACATAACCGCCACCGACAATGCCAAAGAGGGCGATTTCAAAACGGTCACTGCTCCTCCGTCTGAGGAAACGCCACCCCCTGGTCCGGTTCCGTGCACTTGCGCCGTTTTCTTAAGCAGTCAGTTTAAAAAGGGATCCAAGGACCAACCCAAAGGGTCGCCAGTGCTTATGCAGGAAATAGACACCCCTTTTATGGCCAACGCACTGGGAAACAAGCAATGCACGCACCGATGCCTCGAAGTGGTAAGAACATTTTTCGTTCGGTTTCCGTCGTAAAACGGAACGTCATTATTTTCTGCCACTCCAAAAGGGGACCCATTTGAAATCAATCTACTCAATGTCATTGAAGACTTTTTATCCTGCTTATCAGTATTATTACGCACACGTCAATTTTCTTAACCTGTACCCAGAAACTTAATGAGCTAAAATTGTTTTAAACTGATTTGCAAATATTTAAAATTTTAATTGAAAATGACAAAAACTAGTACCAAATAATCTACACATAAACTCGTTTCACTTCAATGCACTAAATTTTTTGGAACACTGTATAGGGAAGACCAAATTAATTGTTTTGGTATGGAACATATCACATTTGAATGAATTTGAATAAATGTCTATATAATTTATTTGCTATATTTTATTTTATAAATTGTGTAATATACTCGTTTTAGGGGGTTGCATGAGAGCAGCTATGTTAGATGCCGCCCCCACAGTTGTATATTTTTGTAAGATATCTCCGTCGAAACCGAATAAAGGCCCTTTATTATTATTATTATTATTATTCGTTCAAATGAAAATCGGCTATCTACAAAAATTTGGCTGCTAGAAGGCGTCTGTAAAAATTCTGCAATTGAAACCAAAACTAACCATTCAAATCAAACTCAAACTATACTCTGTGAGTATAAGGCAAAATGGTTAGTTTTAAGCAATTTCAGAGAATAATAGGGTAGAGTATCCAACAAAAATTAATGTGCCATTTTAGCGACGAGTTTGATTTGACAGGAGCGGTACGCAGCGAAGCAAGTGCTTATAAAGGAATTACTAAAGAATGAGTTAAAACTTTTTCAGTAAAAGTTTGCAAAACAGTACGAGTATATTTACCGTTAGAATTAAGAAACAAAAAAATACAAAACAACTGATGGGTCTCGAACCTGTGACTAAAGTTCCAGTTCGCGACCGACTAACAAAAATTAACCAAAACTACCCAAAAACTAATGGTGGTAAAAAAAACTATAGTACACAACACACACACACACACACACGCACACAAATTTTACACCCACTCATTTGTGAAACAGTCGCTCGCTGCTCTCCGCTGGTGCCTAAAAAAACCCGTGACTAAATTGTCATTTATCATAAATTGGGCTATATATCGCAAATATTTTAGGATTCTTCTCTGCCATATATACGCGTATCTCCCTAACCGAGAAAATTTTGTTACTGAAAAAGTTAAAATTGCCTTAAATAAATTAATTTCACATAAAGCTCTTGAACTAAGGGTTTTTTACATCGAACACCGCACACAATTGATGGTATACTTCTTTTTTCTAGCATACCACCACAATTTGAAGAAAATCATATTCTTAGTAATTAGATCCCAGGGTGTATTCATGACACACTGTATAGTAACGACATCGAACAATATTGTCAGTCGATATTATTAACCGGAACTAATATTTAACTTAATATTTTTAAATTCTTAACCCAATTAATAACTTCAAATACCGTCCAGTATATTTTCATTAGTGTCTTTGACTACCAATAGAGTAGTTAACCACAACAAATAGTCATTTTCAATTTTAAAACAAAATATAATTAAATATCGCAATTGCATGCCGACAACTGAGACCGTTCAGGTCGATGATTAGAATATTATAATGGAATTCTACTTAACACGCAGCCCCGCTGCAGATAATGACTGCCGGGCAAAACAGAATCCCACATACCATTACAGGGTGCCCTTCAACCTAATTTAAATCACAAAAAATCACGAAATCACACCTGACCAGCAGACCAAATTAAAGAGAGGGTGTTCGGAACAATAACCAATTCCCCCAACGACGAATTTCATTATTCACCCCGGTGATTTCATTGACGTGCCTTGTCCCATCCTTTATGATGCAAGGTAATAATTACGTACGTAGTTACGAACAGGACGTGGGACGTATAGCATCAGCAAGCGAGAAATTAGTTTATACACACTAAGTATACAAAGCTCCCTCTTTGTAACTAATTCATGGATAAACTGAAATTTAATGGTACCCATTTAAAAAAAAAACTTTTTAAAAAAATATTCGCCTGACTGGCGTAAAATATTTAACACTGGTTACAATAAAGATGATACATAAACCTCGAAATTGTCATTTCCGCGCGTTTTGTTTGCAACAGAAATAAAAATGAAATTACCAATAATTAATCGGATTTATGTACTAGACCTTTCAATCGTAATTTTTGATTTAGCGTCGTTTTTCAATAAATCGATTCAAAAAATCCACAAAACTACGCCTATGGTCACCCCAGACTATTACAGGACGATGGACGAAGCGTAAAAGCGCCTTCTCATTGCAGTTGATCAGTGCTCGGGGGTCTAAAACTCTCCAATTTATATTATTCATGAGGGGTGTAAAATAATACGCACCTATTTATTTTTTGTCTGGTTGAGCTGTAGTTTGTTATTGTTCACACGCAATGTCACGTAAAATTAAGGTTATTTAGACACGCCTGAAGGACGGACCTGTTGAATCTGAACGCCTTTAATTAGACCCAGGGACATTAGGTACCGGAATAGACATTTTGGGGGGAATTGAAACCCCGATGATTTTGGGGTTAGAATTCGTAATTGTAAAGGAAACAAACATCTATTCATTATAAGATCGGAGAAACTGACTAGTTATAGAGAACCTGCATAAACTTATTAATTTTTTTATCTTCCTCTAAATAGGTAGGTTTCTTCTCCAAATATTCTGGAGCGACAGCGAAAATATTCCTTTTTTTGGAACCTCAACCTTTTACCTATGGACCTATGGGATTATAATATACTCAAGAAAATTTCAAACATCTAGAAAATTGTTGTAATTTTTAAAGGTATGAAGTTTATTGCTTTTTGGGAACATCAGTTACGAATGTCAAAAAATGCCAGGATGCTGAAAATTTCGCCGTTGTGCATAATAATTGATATTTCTTTTGTACCAAAGTATGATTTTTTGTATTATTGACGTGTAGAATTTTGTGTATTTCATGAAAAATTTTTAGATCCCATTTTGTTTATTCCTTAAGATGATTAACATTTTTGTTTGTATTCATTTGGTTCCCTTTCTGCTTTTAAAAGCAGGAACACGCTTAATGGAAGCAGGACATTACTGTGACGATGGACCTGTTAAAAACATGTTAGTAACTATTTATTCGAGTTAAACATAAAATTCCAAAGTTACGCTTATCACGATAAAACAAATTTTTTGAAAATCTTTACTTGATTTTTTCATTCATGTGAACTCAATATTGATAAAAGAGTGACAAAACGTGTTTCCATTTACAAATATTGTTTTAAATAATAACCTTACCTAGAGAACATTTTTTTGAACAGAAACACACTAAGGAAACTCAGATGCTAAAATTATCATTGAAAATATGTTTAGTAAAATAGCTTGTGGCAATCAAAAAGTATTTGTTTTTCAAAACTATTATTATATTATATTCTCAAGTGAAAAAGTTGTAATTCGAAAAAAAATAAGTTTTGCTGGTCTCTCCAGAATATATTGAGAAAATATCGACCTATTTCTGGCATAACTGGATGATTTTTTGACAAGAAATTTAACGGTACTCATATTTGCAGATTTTTGAAATTTTGGAACTAGCTAAGGCCACGTTATAAGGTTGAAAATGGTCTTTCAAATTGCCCCAAGTTTAGGACATTTCAACGAATTTTTAATTGTTGCAGTTATGTTTGAAACAAAAAATAATGAAATTAATTTAATTTAATTTATTAATACGTAAAGTGTAAGTAATAGTAATAACATATAGGAAGTCCCATTTGAAATATCTTTAAAAAAAAAAGATGTGACGTCGCATCGCTGACAATATTTTGTGATCAAATTTTCCAAATGATACCATTTTCCGTTCAAAATTCATTTTAAATCGCATTGACAGTGAACCACCCTATATATCCTGTATCCCACACTTACATTCGCGCAATTAAACGCAGTATAATAACACGTTTTCCAATTGTTCGCCCTAAGAACTTCTAACAATCCCTGTAAGTCGCCTACAACTACCTGCAAACCCCACATCGTTCAACAAAAACAAAAATAAAAATCATTCAGAACACCACCATGTGAAATCTGGTGGGAAACTATTTACATATAATGCCCAACGTCCGGTCTCCGGCATACGGGTGGAGGTCAACGGGGTGTGTAATGTAATTCGTTATTTAGGGCAAATTATTCCATGCCCCATCCCCATTATTGCCATACGCGAAGGCTTTGTTTTGGTGGTCAGGTGCTGTGCCCGTTGTGATTTCTCGTCCACTCATTATTTCGTCTAGTGTGGGAAGATATAAGGGTATGTGATTTCTTGGTCGTCCGCTTTTTTTCTGGGCGAGCAACTTTTTTGAAACTTGAAACGGAAAACCCGAAATTATTGAGAAGAATTTAATGTTTCAACAATTCTTGACTTTTCCACTGCTAAAATATTTTTAATATGTTGCAAAACAGCAGTCATAAAGTCATAGTAGGTAGGTTATTCTTAAAAAGTATTTCCAGCATTTTTTTTTTTAATCCAACCAATCTTCCCAACAAGGTTTCAAATATAAGGCAATCGAAATGAATGATTAAATTGTTGTTGTTTTACAGATTATTAAGCACCTTCCGAAGAGCAACGAAATCATATGCGCAACCGTGGATAAGGACCATGTCCATAGGGAAAAGGCGTACCTATTCGTCAAGAATCACAGCGACAAATGGCACGAGACGAAGCTATCAGCAGGAAGAGAATTCTGCTGCAAAGATAATCTTCCATACAAATGCTTCAAACCACTGAAATGAGAGAACGATGAAGATTATTTTTTTAATATAACTTATAAATTCTAAAATGATTTCGTCATTGCTTTTCAAATCAACAAAACACAATGCAAATTATTGAGTGGTAATAGGATGCAGCCACCCTAATATTGTTAACAACTTCCTAACCACAATTCACCTGCTATTAAAAGCTGCTTTATTCAATCGGCCTTGCTGCGTTCGCTATCTTCCTGTATTACGCCTTTACGGTGTTGCCAATTTGGTGAAAATAGGTCACATATGGCGAAATAAAGTAAAATAATTTTCGAAAATCTTTTCCACGAGAGATCGGTTTTTCTATACTTGTTACATTATTTAACGACAACAGCAGAACTAAGTTATTATGTGCAACCGACGCGATAAATCGACAACAGTGAAAATATTTTTATCCCCATTGACAGCGTTCCCTATAGACATCAACCGTTAAATTAGCTACGTAATCATTTCCTGTATTTAGTCGATAAATCGTTGAACCCCACTGATAATTATACAATTAGCTGTATAAATTTGTGTTGTTCCGGGTGGTGTTGGGAACAAAAAATAATATGCGGCTTTTTCGACATATAAAAAATTTGATTGAGAAAAAAGTCGAAAGGTCCAGAGTTGTAACATTGTATTTATGTTTTTCTCTATGACTGTGTGTTAACAGTAATGGTAAACAGTACGCAGAATTATTTCCTCCCTTTAGGAAAATTATTGCCATACTTTTTTACTTCTCTTTTTTGTGGGATATGTTGTCTTCTGAATTGACTTTATTGCATTTGCTTTTCTCAAAAAGTTATTCCCATATTGCACTTATTGTTAAAAGCCCAACTCTAATTTGGAAATCCCTTGCACTTGGATACCAAATACAAAGCGAATTTCAGGTCACAGTACCTATGTGATCCTTTGATGATACAAACCAATCATTCTTTTACAATCTGAGTAAGCTAACCTTGTTGGTTGACCTATTATATTTTCAATAGAAACACAAAATTGAAAAAGACTGACCTAAATTTCTACGGGCGAGTGAAATATTTCATTTAGGCAAAGAATGCTTCACTATAGGAAACTTTTAGTGGCAGGTATAGTACAACGTACGTGGAAATAATCACCCAACTTCGAATAACGTTCAAAAAAAAGTTAATACTCGCATAATAACAATATGCCAAAACTCGCCCAAATGTGGACTAACAACAAGAACCTGTATGTTGACACATCCTTAGAAACACTTTAATGCGATATATATTAGTATCAACAACAACAAAACAAAAGAAAATAACATGTGTCAAAGCAGGTTAGAAATAGGCTTTGCAAAATAATGTTCAGATATGGACTTGAAATCCTTAGGCGTATTATAGAAAAAAATAAATATAAAAAAAATTCCCTAGTCGTATATTAAGTTTGGGTTAGTTCTTAAGAGCACCTGCTGGAAACGATTTAATTCAATGCAAAACAAAGATAATTATCAAAAAAAAAGGTCGACTTTGATAAAGCACTGAGAATTAGTACATAGTTTTTAGTACAACAAAAATATTTCAACACTGAACAAACAAATCAAGGAGCATAAACGTCAGATATTTCCATTTGCTTGCCCTATAAATACAGGATATTTTCTCAAGCTCTAAAACAACTGTTTTTTTACAAATGCGCGGAAAACTAGTAACTTGAAGTAACTTTAGGTGCTGAGTAATTGAAAACCATCCGAACGTCGGTTCAAATCATCTGCCGAGGTTCTAAAAGGTTTTAAAAATTGTCTTCTCTGATTGCAATAGTATTATTAGTTTTGGTTTAGTTTAATAGCAATATTAGAAAATAGTAACTACTCTTGAAAATTGTCTATTTCTTTCTCTCAAACCTCTATTGTTTGTGTAAATACGTGAACGGGAAAGCCAGCACATAACGAATTAACGGGGTCTAAATACTTTTGTCTTTAATTAAATTGTGTTCCTTCTCATTTATGATTATTGAATTAATAATTGTAGCTAAAGGCAAATTTCAATTGGCGGTTTTAGCCTTAATAATCACGACTTCTATATAAACAGATACTGATTTTGTTTGTTAAGACCAGTTTTAGATTGTAAGTTTACTACGACATCAAGGTTTTCATAACGTTTGATCCTTAAAACAATTCCTTCAACTCATCAATTTTTTAAAACATTCTTTCGAGACATGCATTTTTTCCATTTATACGACACTTTTCCAAAATAATTTTGATTAGTTTTGGATAGATAGAATGTGGTGGACATGTATCCAAATGTAGTTGCTAAAAGGAATGTACAACCAAAAGAAACCCAGAAAAATCTAAACATAAGCTACAAAAGCCATGGTTAGATGTATTCCGTTTCTATCGAGGTTCCACGCAAAAATTGCGGTTATTTTTGCCAAGTTGCAACCTTTCCACATTTACCACTCGTACAGTTTTTTAATTAAAAGAAGGGCAAATCTACATATCCTTTTCCAAATAGAGGTGGTTGTAAAATAGTAAACTAATTTTATAATTCATTTAAAAAGCGAAATATATAGTTTTTGTCATAAACGGTTTCGAAACCAATAATGCATAAGTAAAATATTAAATATGGCATACGAAGTGGATAGCGTATTAGGCGAGGGTCGGGGTTATTGTTTCTTATCTTTGGTAAACAGGATCTGTTTTAACAACCAACTGATATGAGGCAACTGTAACTTGTGTAAAGCGATATGGGGTGGAAATATTATTTACTAAAACGCACAGTGGGGGTTCAAAAATCGCCAACTTTAGTGAGAGTTAATAACATAACGGGTGTTGAAGAAAAAATACATTCACCTTTTTAATCCCACAGAAGCACATTGATTAATGATTTTTTAACACTAATAAAATATAGGACTTCTTGCTTTTGCGTTGAACAAAAGATTAGTGTAGGGGAATGTAAATATCGCATCCCATAAAAACAACTTTTACACGCATGAAATAACTATGCCAATATAAAAAATATCTTTGTAAATCTTTTGTGCCAAAATTTATCGTATATTAGTGATGCTTAGATAGACCTCGACTGCTTCCTAAACTTTTAACGTTGAATCGATTATAATAACAATTCACAATTCGATAATATTCTTAATCCGAACAGTACAGAAATTGTTGAGGGGCACAATTAAGCGACCATTATCGACGGCCATCTTTATAAGTACTGCATCCGCCCAAAATTTAATTAATTAGCAGTTTTGCTTGCGCAAATTTTAACGTCCAAATCAAGCAGCGCGCTTATTTAAACGATGGACCAGATAACTTGTTAACATTCTGTGCATGACTTCCGTTCCCACAAATCCCGTACTTTTATTATTCATTTTTGTTGACCTTTTTTTCGTTGTTGGAGAACAATATGTAGATATGCCAACCTGATTTGCATAAGTTGGTGGGTGATAAGCGCTACAGAATTGCACATATTTCCAAAAAAGTAAGCGGTTGACTATGTGAACGCAGCTTGTTATATATTTTTTTAAATTTTAGAAATAAAAAACCACTTGGAAACTAAAAGTAAACTGTTTGGACGAATTTTAAATTAGATTATTAGAATATATTGTTTACTTAAGCTGTCGCACACTACTTTTCCGTATTTCCAAAAATAGTTTTATGGCAACAGTTAGGTAAATATTGAAACTTTTTTTACGGACTTCATTTGCAACAACTTTTCTAATAAGGGTAACAACGTTGAAAAATTAAAAAATAAATTGACGAATCATGGGTCGAGAATTTTGAAATTTCGTATGATGACCTAGATTTTAGTCTTATGCCACTTTACTCCACCAGAAAATCGGATTTTCTAAAAATCTAAAGTTAATGTAAAGAGTAATGGATAGTTTAGAAAAAAACATTACAAATAGTAAGATCAACCCTAAATTAGACCCATCATCAAGCTAATGTTAAATATCTGAAAATAAGGTCGAAACGTTGGTTGGTTGGCTGGTGGGATTCTTTTTAATATATTCAAATTGAAAAATTCGTCCAATCTCTGAGATACTCGGTTAAATATAGTTGATAGAAGAAACACACGAAACCTGCAGTATCATTTGTCAAAACGTTAATTTAAAAAGCTGATGACATTTTTCGTCGTAAAAATGACCTTTAAAAATGTCAAACACGGTCCCAAGCAACAATTATTTTTGAGTATCAATGTGTGGGTGGCGGCCGCATGCGAATGTTAAAATTTTAAAAACACGTCTTACCCTTCCATTGTTTCTAGTGTCAAAGTACGACATGCTTTTAAATAAATAATAAACGAAACAACTACATATTTTTATCAGCGAAGTTAAATTAAGAAATTTTTTATATAATTTTTAAAAAGGTTAAACGCACCAAAGTTAACCAAAGTAGTAAGTTTTAAAAACAAAAACCCTTGCATTTTGATCAAAAAGCCCCAGTTCAGGATTTAGATTTTATGTAATTTTGATTTAAGAAAATCCCATGCAACTGCTACTTCAGTACTTCACAACTGAATAGAGTAATCCAGTTTTAAATTCAAATTCTATTTTGTCTAATAATAAACATTCAAGAAAATTGTCTAATCTTGAGAACCTAATACCACCTAAATTTAACATCAGTGAGTCAGATATATCCTTAGCTCTATTAAATATGTCATTAAATACTTAAGGTGACTATTTAGAGAAGTATATGGGCGTAACGGATAATTAGGCAAATTAATACTTTCGTATACCCTCGCGTATGCCTTAAACGCAAAGAGTTTAAACGACACAATTTTTAATGCACAGTGCACACACTATTTTTTAATATAGTGCATCATACATGTGACGTCATAATTCAGCAGTTATTGAGTAATGCGTCTTAACGAATGTTTAAATGTTTAACAGTGGATATGTAGAAAACTTAAATACTTGCGCTTAAAAGTACATTTTATATCAGACATGAATTCGAAAAATTCAACTTGAAAACGCGAAGATTTCAATGATATAAAAACATTTTAAAAATTTTCTATTTACAAAAAACCTTCTGGATTCCTCCTGTGTCACTTTTTGAGCTTTCATACTGTTGCCTTCTTCAGAGCTAAACCGAAGCAGTTTCAACAACTTTTGCAGGTGGAAGCCAAAAGATTTGGAAATGTTATTACAGTAGCCTGTAACAGAAAATAGCAGTACGTACATTAAAAATCTTCCCAT